ATAAAAAATTAATTTTTTTTTTTTTTTTTTTTTTTTTTTTTTTTTTTTTTTTTTTTTTCGCATTTGCGCTCTGATATTCTTGTGACAATATATATATAGAGAGAGAGGGATAATAAAGATCGAGACGTAGGAACAGATCCTCGGCTGTCCCCCACGACATAGAAAGGAGGAATAGGTTATCGACCACCTCCATCTCTCTCTCGACATCCTTTGGGGGAGGAGGTTCCTCTCCCTCCCAACATCCTTTGGGGGAAGAGGTTCCTCTCCGTCCCAACATCCTTTGGGGGAGGAGGACCAGTGGCCATAGCAGCGTGGATAGTGAATACATACTGTCATTAACCACAACAAGGTACAGATCAGGAAATCATCCACATTACATTTACCAAAAAAAAAAAAAAAAAAAAACTACAAAAAGGATCTCATCGATAACCGGCCTCTTTAAACTCGAAACCCTCTGCACTTCTCTTCACTGGGAGCTCAACGAGCCTGGCGTTTTTCTATCATCTTTATTAAAATAACATAAAAAACCTTTGCACTTCTCTTAACTGGGGGCTCAACAAGCCTGGCGTTTTTCTATTATCTTTATTTAAAAAAAAAAATACTACAAGAAAATAGACCCCTCCGTCGCTCAGAAAATTAATCACCGTAGATATCGTGTGGTCCGATGGACCGCGGATCAGATATTAAACTGATGATCACAACAGATACATTGCACTTGATCTTACTTGGCCAAAAGGCCGAGAAAGGTATAGCCTGGCGTTTTTCCTCGAGCACAACAGACCCTCAATACGACCGTATCTGACCGGATTCATAGCTTATACGCATTCAAAAGTAGGTTGCGTCCGATGGACCGCGGATCAGATATTAAACTGATCAGAACAGATACAGTGCACTTGATCTTAGCCAAAAGGCCGAGAAAGGTATAGCCTGGCGTTTTTCCTCGAACATAACAGACCCTCAATATGACCGTATCTGACCGGATTCATAGCATATATGCATTCAAAATTGGGTTGCGTTATGTCCGGGAGAAGACGGTGGGCGTGAGTTGCCAACCGAGTGGCCGACAGCTTTCGCTAACTTTTTATTTACACTTTTTTTTTCCGTTTGAAGACCCTCAATAGGACCGTATCTGCCCGGATTCATAGCTTGTATACATTCAAGTTTAGGGTGCGTTATGTCCAGGAGAAAACGGTGGGCGCGAGCTACAATCCGAGTTCACACACTTAGTTCCCACAAAAAAAAAAAATCGCTTTTTCGTTTTAAAGAATATACCAAAAATAAGGTCATCAGTTCAACCCCCCCGCCACTCTTCCCCCTATTAAATACGTTCCTGAGTTCAACCCCCCCCCAACCCTTCCCCTTATTAATTAAGGTCATCAGTTCAACCCCCCCCAACCCTTCCCC